TCCACTACACACAATAGTTTCACACTTGGGTTTGCAATTGAAAGCTTTGCGTAAGTCCTTCCAGAAATGGCATAAATGCATAAACATATAGAAACAACTCAGAATTAAACAACATACATAAACTACTAAAAAGCGACTTGCCTTTTGGTCGTTTACAAACCAATGCAATTAGTAATTTTTTATTTATTTTTGGATGAGCAAAGAAGAGATTTTATTGATGTATAGAAGCATGATTAATACCACCAAATAGAAGCATATGATTAAACAACATACATAAACCCTTTCCCCACCAAATTAACACAATTAAAAAAAGCAAGATAGAATTTAAATTAATCAAAATTACGGAGACCAAATCAGCATAAAGAAAAAATTACAATGACCAATGGTGTAATTTCTCTTATTTCTTTTAATTTATAGTTGTCAACTTATTATCCTAAAGGAGCATTACACAAGTAGTAGCCTATTTAATAACATTTTTTTTTATAAGAGTTACAATGTCAGTAAATGTTAGGTAAGTTGTTGAAAACATTGTTGTATTGTATCCCATTGCATTTCAAAAGTTATTTGCCCAAAACAAAGGAAGAGGAATTGGAGAGATTCCAATTCAAAGGTGAACAATACACTCTGGCAATAATAGACAGCCAAAAACCCCAACAATAGCTGACAACCAAAAACCCCAGCATAGGCCTAAAAACAGAACAAAAACAGCCAGCCCACCCCAGCTATCTGAGTTGCATGAGCCAGCAGCCAAGCCAACCCAAACCCAGAGTTGAACAATACACAGTGGGAGCTGAAACACTTCCATCTGTCATCCAAACCAACCCAGCAAGGTATTTCAATTTTCTAGATGCTTACTTCTAGTAGAGTCATGCCATTTTTTTGTAATAAACAAACCAAAAAACCCATTTACATGTTCTTTCAATCATTGGTTCATTGATGAAACCCATTTACTCATTTCACATAAATTAAAACCCATTTACTCATTTACACATTTCACATAAATCAAAACCCTACAGCATAAAATAAAAAAAAATAAAACAAAAAAAAAACCCTAGAGCCAGAATGAAATGGGGAAATAGTAAAAAGGCGGCAGAGAAACAAAGAGAGAGAGGAAGACGGACATTGAGAACAAAAAACCCCAATGTTGAGGCTAGGTGAGCGGTGGTGGCGATGTAACGATGTGCGACCGTAAACCCAATTCTTTCGCTGTAGTTTCAAGTCCATAATTTGGGCCTTGGGCCAGGTGTTTAAGAACTAATTTGCTGGTTTTTTGGGTGTAGTAGAGAGACTAGAAAACTAAAAAAATAAAACATAATTAAACTTCATTTGGGAATTGTCCATTTTAATTAGTTTTTTAGTTTTTTATGAAAATATGTTCAAAAAAGTAGAGAGGGTGATATAATAACTTGTAGTGATTTTTTGGCTAAAATCTTAAGTCCCCAAACGAGGCCTAGTCAATATTTTAGTCAGAAAAAAATGGGCAGTAATCTGAAAAAATTGACACCATTGCCGACTAACTGTTTTTATCACCAAAAATACATATTTAGTGACTAAATTTTTGGTCCCCAAAGATTAAAAGTGAAATTATTTGGTGACTAATTTTTTTTAGTTGGCAAAAATTAATATACCACAACTAAAACAATAGCCTAAATCCTAAACTAATGTCGACCAATAATTTTTTTTGTCAGCTATTGTGGCACTTTTGCTGACTAATTTTTTTTTTAGTCGGTAAAAAATATTATAGCACGACTAAAAAATATTTAGTACCCTAAAACCTAAACTAATGCCAACCAATCGTTTTTTTAGTCGCCTACTATAGAGCTTTTGGCAACTAAATTATTTTAGTCAGTAAATTTATTTGCCAAAAGTATAATTTGTTGTAGTGATATTCAAGTCGGTAATTAGCTCTTAACACCCTTTGTGGCCTAGTGATCGTGTAACACCCTTTTGTAGTGTGAGATTTCGGGTTCAACTTTTACAGAGAAGAGTATGATATATTTAGTGGTGACAATCTATTTCTCCTCCATTATTGGGGTTGTATGTATTGGGCTTTGGGCTTGGTGGACTTGTAAATTGATTGTGTTAGGCTTTATTTAACTTTCTACTTATTGTGAACTAGTTTGTTTGATAATATAAATATTTTTCGTAATTATAATTACTTTCTTATCTATTGACAAAAAATAAAAAATAAAAAAATAATAATAATCTTAGTTAGAATAAGTCGATCGTAGTTAAGGATTTAATTTGATTTTCACCAATTTATTTTTAATCAATTTAATTTTGGAGTGGCGTTAAAAGAGACGATTTCAAATGTCAAGATAAATTTGCTAATCATTTCCGATGTAACCCAAAAAAAAAAGAAGAAGAAGAAGAAGAAGATAAATTTGCTAATAAACTACCTTTAGAAGTAAAATTTGGGCCAGAAAGTAGTGTCCATTTTGGGACCATTTTGAGGCAATATTGTAGCCATATGACTGTCAATATAGAGGAGATTCTATTTGCAACAAAAAAATCAGTACGTTCAATTTCTTAATATTCTCTATTAAATTATTTAGATTTATAATTTACTTTTAATACACCTTACGCTTTTTCTTTTTTTTTTCACAAATTGCCCTTCAAGATAAAATCATAATTTGTGGTACACCCAAATAATAAACAAATCAAAAACCCCCAAATTACACTACTTTGAAAAACTTTTTCAAAAACCCTTAAATAGATTTCATTACACCTATTCCCTTTGTTCACAATTGACGCACCGAATTCTCGCATAGTTTCAACATTAGGTATCACACAAGCTTGCAGATCAACCAAAACAAGTCTCACATAGCATTTAACAGCGGATACCATTTCCTCTTTGGATTGAATCAAATTTTTGTAGGTTTAAAGTTTAGGGTTTAGGGTTTAGGGTTTAGGCTTTATTGTTTAGGCTTTATTGTAAAGATTGTTTCCCATTTGTTCACCTTTTTATTTTTTGATTCATTTTCTATTATACATACAAAACCTTAACGTAGTAAACATGTTTCTATCTTTGTTTTTTCTTTAATAAAATGCTCTGCATCTGGCAATTGTTTGTTGTGGCGAGGTGATCAAATGCCTTGTCTTCTCTTAATTTATTTAAATCTTTATTTTCTGTTACATTGCATACTATGGAAAAGTTTAAAATTTCACTCTTCCTTGATGCTAAGAAAGTCTTTCCTAGAGGAAACTCACACGAATTTATGAAGTAAGTCACTGCGAATGAGTGTTGACTTGGAGTGGTTTCGAGTGATGATGATGATGAAAAGGGGTAGATTCGAATGAAATAGAGATTGTGGTGGGTTGGTGAAGAAGCTCTAACAACAACAAATCTTATATGGTGTAAAGTTTTGCAGATTAAACAAGACATTGATTAAATTCTAGCCAAAGGAAAAAGAACTTACCTATTCTTCATATATAAACTTCTTGGCCTTAAACCCAGTTCTTCTATGAACTCTAAAACCTTCTCAATTGAATATGTATAAGTAATTTGGGTGTATGAAAAAAAATGATTTTATTTTAGAATTTAATATGCATTGTTCTTATTAGTATGTTTACATTAGGGTATGAGGTTATCTTGCTCACTGTTGTTCCGTAAAAACAATCATTTACGAACAGCCAATTATAACATGCCACGTCATTAGTTTCCAAAGCCACCAAATCATCTTCTTTCTCTTGCACTTTCTCTCCCTCACAATCAATGCCTTCACTACAATTAATACGAACCCAGCACAAGCATGTAGATTGAAAATTCCAACATAATCTCATTCGCTGGAGCACCACCATTAAAGTTGTTGAGTTGGAACACAACAACCATACTAAAGTTAATATTTATTTAGATACAAAGATATACTTAAATATACAAGGAGATTCTCAAGAATACCTCACTTTGGGAATGGTGGAAACAAAATGAAACTATGTAGCTTGTGGTTTCACAGATGGCCTGTGATATACTAACTGTTCTTATCTCTACAGTTGATTCGGAAACAACTTTTAGTGCAGGTAGACGAGTACGGAGCGATTACTGGAGCAGGCTTTTACCCTAAATGGTTAAGGCACTGATGATATCCAGAGATCATATACATGTGCTTACAAGAAAACAAAATTATAGTAAAAAGAAGCGAATTCAAAATGATTTGGATGACATATCCTTGGGCAACGCGATTAAAATGTCTATTTCCTCCAATGATTGATTAACAATTTGTTTTTTACTATTTCATTTCATTTTTTATATTTTTATTTTATTTTTTTGAGGTGGAGTATAATGCAAATGATTGGTAGACTAGTAGGTGCCAACCTAGTTGGAAGGTACGTGACCTATAGTGATGCAATTGCTCTACCATCATCAATAATCTACACCTATTTTTATTTAATAATATCAATTTTTGTAATATTTTATTTCATTTTGAAATAAAAGTTATTCATTCAATAAATGTTATATAAATAATTTAATATTGTAATATTGAAAGTTTCATTTTCATATATATAAAATTATTCATTTCGAAAGAAAAAAATTACATAATTGCATACTTTTTTAGTTATAAGTTCATAATTAAAAAAACATAAGTCATACATAATTAAATTTAAATATTACCATAAAACATAACCAACAAAACATCTCATTAATCTTAACTAAAATACTCTAGTATAATTTTTCTTTTATTTTTTATTCCTAATAAATAAACAAAAAAAAGGCCCAATTAGGCTTAAGCTAGGCCCTATTATGAGTGGGCTTGGGCTTGGGCCCAACTTTTTGGCCCGTGGCCCGGCCTACTAAAAAGAGGGAGCCCGCGAGGCCCGCTTGGGCCGGCTCGGGCCATTATTACATCCCTAGGATCCACCATCAATCCAAATAGTTTCAAAAACCTTTTCTTTTTTGTTTTTGTTTTTTGTTTTTGCTAAGTAACAGTTTTAAGAACCTGTTTAATTGCACAAGTACAAGAATTTTATCAGTTCATATATTTGGTTTCAACACAAACAATATATAATAAAACAATGCTCATTTAGTACACCAAGATATGTAATGTGTTTCTAACAAGATGAAAAATATATATAAAAGAATCAACACTAGGATATAGAAGCACTAGTCTTACATATTCTTGCATTATTGTTGAAATACAGAAGAAGAACAAGTACAACTGAAATCCTTCAATTAAGTGAGACCTTTTGATCAAGTCCTCTTAGTGGTTGGGTTGCTGTGCCCATGTCCCATGTTTGTTGTGGGTGGAAGACAGCTTGTCCTTGTGAAGCAATAAAGACCTTGATGAATCATAAACAAAATTAGTGTACTTGTATTTCTTGTGAGAGCTGTGTCAATAAAGTTCCTTGCCTCGTCACGCATTAGCTACTTCCCAATCTCTAGTGCATCGAACTGCAAATATATATCATGATCAAATTTGCGAATTTGCTGAACGATCTGATAATCATAGGAGAAACGTCATATCTAAACACTAGCCAAATTTGTTTATATGCATATAATATTAAAGCTATTTTATGCAAATATATTAACTAAAACAAATTGAGAACAAAACATTAAGGAATTATATAAACTTTAACAAAGATCTTGATCTTAGAAGTTCAAAAAGACCATTCAAAAGAATTGATACTAATACATACATTGTAACATTATATAATATACTTTGAGAGTTCAATGACTTTTATGTGTCTACTTTATTCCATGCGTGAGTGGAATCAATCATATGAAGGCTCAGAAAAGATGCTTACGAGAACTTCTTTGATGTTCTTTTCTATACATCAATTATTGGAAGATTAGAGCATGTAGAACAGAGTGGTTTGTGGCTTTGTGGTTGTATTCCTTTTCTTTTTGTTGGTTGGGTCCAACTATTATACAAGAGATACAAAGCTGTGGCTTTCTCTTCCCTCTCTCTTGTAATACTTTATTGCAGTTTGATAAATATAATACACTAATGGCTCCAATATAATATAAGAGAGACAAAGGCAGTGGCCTCACCACAAGGAAAATTCAAGCATACCAATAGAAACAAAGAACAGAGCAAAAAAGACAAAAAGAAAAACATTGAAACCCCCATTATGCAAAGATTAATCATTAACATTTTGTCATAACTCAATTTGAACACAAAACAACCTACAAAAAAGCTGAGAAGATTTTCATCTTCTTATAAGCAAATTCCTTTTTCACACAAATTTGTGCCCATAGTGTTTGTCAACAGAAAAATTGAAACTAGACATACAGGAAAATTAGTCCATAGAAAATTCTATCTACAATGAAGTAGATATATTTCCTAAACTTGAAATATAGATACAAACTCTAAACTTGAAATTAAAGTGTAAGGCAACTTAATAATAGAGAGAAAAGGTTCATAACATAAAATATTCTTTATGATTTTAACAGCAAAACCACACATATTTAAGTGAAATGGTTCTGAAGTTCAAGAAGAAGAGATCAAATTGTTCAGGTGGGAATTTATTACCTAGGGTAGAGGCCAAGGGGTTGAAAGAGAAGCAATTGATCATCTGAATCACGAAATAGACGTCGAATCGGTGAAAACAAGAGCTTCAATTCCATGCCTGATGTAAAATCTATCAGATTAAACATCTGTAGTCTTCCTTCCGATCACGTAGCAGATATATATATATATGCAGTTTGTGCTTTTATATATATTGGTGTGTGATTTCGGAATGAACAGGAGGCGTTGTGGGATGGCTTCAGATCATCTATACATCGAGAAGAGTGAATTGGAATAGTCTTCTCCGATTGAGAGTTTTAATCACAGCAGGGTTTTACAAATTATTAAGAATTTTAATTAATGTTTATAACTCTGCTAACTAACAGTGTTAGATTCAAATTCCCTGCAACGTGTGAAAAGCGTGGGACAGAGGTTGGGACACCAAAGTAGTAGTATGTAGTACGTGATTTGATTTTGGAAATATTTTAGTAATTTTTTAATTTTTTTGATTAAAATATGAAGTAAAATTTTTTATATGTTTAAAATGGCTTTTTAATTTTTTACAAAAAAATGTGTAAAAACTAGACAAAAAAAATAAATCTTTAACTTTTTTATATAAGTTATAGGTTTTTTGATTTTTTAAATAATTTTTTTTTGACTTTTAGACTAAAACTATCACTTCCCAAACGAGACCTAAATTAACAAATCCTGAACACATGTAAATGGGTGTTACTTTTTACTCTTTTTATCATATAACACACTTTCACAAATAATTTTAACAGCACCATTAGAAATGTTCTAACTATGCAAATTGTTATTTTATTTTTTTATTTTAAGAGAATTACTTTATTTCCAACGTCTTAATATCACATGTTTAATTAAACTGGGTATGACAATTTTTTTTTTAATTTAATTTTATTTTATTTTAGAGATTGGTTTCAAATTATTTATTGGGCAAAACCCCAATAAATCTCAAATCTTAATTTGTTAAACCATTTGGTCCTGTCTTTTATTTTATAGACTAATAAGTCCTATTTAAATGTTAATTACGTATATACCCATTTATTTAACACGCAATATTTTTTTGATGGAGGGCAAATGTAAGTTTTTACTAATGTTGTAATGACCAAAATACCTAAAAAGCTTACTATAGGCATTTTTATGATTTCCCTTCTTTCTAAACATCAGCAACATTAACTACATCAGCAAACATCAACTACATCATCAACGTCATCAAACATCAGCAAACGTTATCAAACATCAAACGTCACCAACATCAACTACATATCTTCAACATTATTCATCAAACATTGTGAACATCAAACATCACCAACATCAACTATATCTTCAACATTATTCATCAAACATTATTCTTCAACATTATTCTCCAACATCATTCATCAAACATTATTCTCCCCCCCCCCAAAAAAAAGGAAAAAGGAAGCAATGAAACTGATCTTACAATAACGAAATACGAAGCGACGAGAAGAAAACTAGAGGGTCCAAAAGCGCGCCATGTGAGAGTGCTGAGCAAGAAGGAAGCCCCAATGCCAGGGAGAGAGTCCGGAGAGAAGAATCTGAGAGCCCACTACGAATATGACAAGATTGCCGAGAATTACCGATTGCCAAGTAGGCGGCGAAGATTGGAACGACTCTATCGCTTTCTGAACAAGCCCTAGACCAGTGGGATTGCTGATTGCTTGAGCTCTGATTGCAGGGACTGCCATTTTCGGAGCTCGAGGGAAGGGGTTGTGGGTGAAGATTGTTAGGGTTTTGTAGGTTGTGTAGTGAAGAGAGATTTGATGGTTGTTGTTGGTGTTGAGATTGGAGGAGGAATTAGAGTGATTGGGGTGGTGGGCTGAGAATCATCACAGTTGGAAAACTGGCCATTTTGAAGTGAGATGAAACTGGAAGTGAGAGTCATCAAACATCAACAACATCAAACATCACCAACATTATTCATCAAACATCACAAACATCACCAACATCAAACATCACCAACAGATCTGTACTTCCCTCAAATCAGATCGAATAAGATCTGTCACTGGCGCCTTCTTCCTCCGTCGACGGTGTCGCCGTCGCTGGTTTGGCTCCCCACGGCTATGCCGCCGTCGCCTTGGCTTCTCCTTCTCCTCTGCTGGCGCCACTTCGTCAAGATCGTTTCTTCGTCTTCAAGTTCAAGTTCCAGATCGGCCTCTCCCGTCATCTCCATCTCTCTCTGAATCTCTCTCTTTATATATATATTTATATATGTTGTAAACAGTTTCCAATAGGGATGACGGGCCACGGCTTCATCAACATCAACTCCATTAGCAACATCATCAAAACATCAGCAACATCAACTGCATTAGCAAACATCACCAAAATGAAATCAATATGGATAAAAATGTAAATTCCATATACAATAAATCAAAAACATATATCATACCAAAAATAAAAAGGACTAAATGGTTTAAGAAAAAACACTCAGGACTAGATAGAGCAACACTTCCCAATATGGGATTTATGAGTAATTTTTGCTTATTTATTTAAGCTAGCTAGGTAACAATATTACGGGATCAAATCAAATACGTCATGTTCATTTGGTTCCATAGATGAGGGAATTGAAATTACAATTTTATGAGCCCTACATAACTCTTGTTTGGTTAATATAAATAGAATGGGACAAGCAGTCCCACGGGACTGAATCTCCCCACATGGTGGGATTAACTTTGCCATGGAGGAGTGAGATTGCTGATCAAATCCCATGAGATTGGGTATAAAAGGACAATTTTGCTCCCACATTACAAAAACAACCAAGTTAATTTTCATATAATGAGAACTTTTATATAATTTCATAGATTTAATTCCAATCAACTAATGCCACTATACTAGTATATTTATCTTTATCTCCAACCTAATACTATCACACTAATAATTTCTTCACTCAATCCCACCGTACTCATAATTCCACTCAATCTAATCCACCAAACATGGGCAGAATTTGTTGCTTCGCTGCACTCACCTCAGTTCGTTGGCTACCACCTGCACCAAGATCTTTCTAATTCAATTGTGATGTGCAACTTCGAAATGCTCAAACATGGTTGCCGTGGTTGCAGTTCTACGAAATGAGAATGGAAGATTAATTGATCGGTCCACAAAGAAGATTTCAATTTCATCTGTGGTCCAGGGGGAACTTTATGCTATAAGAATGGCTTTCTTGTTGGCAGATACTTTCAATCTTTCAAGAGTGGAGGTTGAAGGTGATAACAAAAGGACGCTATCCTTCTGTGTGTCAGAGGATGCCCCTCCACGGGAATCAGTTGTGATTGTTCAGGATATTAGAAACATGGCAAGTGTGAAAGGTCACAAGTTCATCTGGACTCCAAGGGTTGCTAATCAGGTTGCCCACTCGACTGCAATGAACTACCTTAGAGGATCTTTAGGATTAGATTGGGTGTCTATGCCATCTACCCATTTGAGGTTTCTTTCACTTGTTGATGCTCCTTCTGAACTCTTGTAAGCTCTTTTGTTATGTTTTCAGTTCCAAAAAAAAAAAAAAAAAAAAAAAACAAAACAAAAGCATAAAAGATGAATATAAATTTAATTTCGAGTATGTTAGGCATATAACCCATCTGTTTGAAAATTTATTTCTATTTTATTTTTAATAGGTTGATGACTCATTATTATTGTGGGTTTGAATTTAATGGATGCATGACCAAACATTTTATTTGAATGAACATTTAGGTTCAATAAAAAATATGACTGCAACAGTGGAATTAGTTGCCTATTTATCTATGCAATAAGTTGGAATGGAATTAGAAATCAATTGAATTTGAAAGTTGAAAATTATTTGATTATGTGATTGTAGCAATGTAATTGGTTACTTACGCAATAAGTCTGAATGGAATCAAAAACAAGTTTAGACAAGAATCAAGTCAATAATAGTTTTTATTTGGCTTTAAACTGAAATCAAGTTAATTTTAGTTCTTAAATCGAAATTATATTTTATGACTGAATTTAATGTAATAAGTTAACTATATATATGAGACAGGAATCAACTTTCTATATCACGAAAGAGAATCCCTTCCTATATCACCATCAGAGTTAGAGTAACTCATTGCGATCATACAATATGGGACATGAATCACCTTTGAAGCATAAGATATGCCTATTTAGTATTAGATGCCTTGTCAAATTGTTAACTCTTAATAATCAGAACGAGTACAATAAAAAAGGAAGAGGTGGGAACCAAGTATGCAACATTTCTCTTCACTAGATGCTTCACTTGTTCTCTTATGTTTCTTATATTTTTGTTATAAGCTACTCATTTCTATTACACAATATGGGATAGGAATCCTTGTTGAGACACGAGATATGTCTTTAGTATTAGATATTTTGTAAATTATTAACTCTTTTTTATCAAAACAAAGTACAAATCAAGTATAATGAAAAAGAAAAGTATGAAAGATTCCGCTGTACTACATGCTTCATTTGTCTTCTTCTCTCTTTTACAATCATCTTCTAAACTCAATTTTCTTTAAAACACTCAATAATTAAAATATTAAAAAAAAAAAAAACCTCTTTTCTTAATACCTGACTAAGCATGCCTTTCCTCTTTTTTGTGGTTTATCACCACCAACCCAAATTCGATATATTGGACATCGTAAAACAAATAAGTGTCCAGCTGA